TTAACAAAAGACAAAAACATAGCTGAGATTAGAAATCAGTGGGGCCTCCAGAGTTTCTAATTAGCTCAAACATCCTGTCCGGCATAATCTGAACCACGTTTGGCATAGCTGTTTCGTCGCTGTCGGCCCAAATAGCCTCTACCGCCGCCTTCAGTTCATCCGCGGTATTATACTGCCGGTTGCTAAAGTTAACGCCTTGATCAAGGGCTCCCTATAGGGTTGCAGTAAGGAGAACACACAAGCCAATCTATCGCTTCAGCACCATTTCGTTTGAGCCATTCTTTGGTAGATTGCGGAACATTGACAGACGCGTGGTCCTGTTGCTAATCATGCAACCTTCGCTGCTCTCCTCTAAGGAAAGGGAGGAGCGTGCAACAGAATCGTCCGGGAGTGGCGCCGTCGCGCGCGGTCACTTGCGCGGCGTCGTAACGCGGCAGTTTTTCGATGGGCGCGGCCTTATTCGAATTTGACGATTGGAGCAATGATTCTTCATGGTCTATTTCATTCACATGATTCCCAAGATTATTCTCGTACTTGATTAGGTCTGGTTCACACCTCATTAGGTCGCCTCCCTTTACTTAGGTGCGAACCAAATTTACTTAGGTATTAAAATGAAGAGATCGTAATGCTACGCATAAATCTGTGCCCATCGTTACATGGTAGAGTCACTGTGTTATATTGTTATTTAATTATTTATCAGTTGCCGTGCTTTGCGGTATTAGGTACACTATTCAAATCGGATTTCATGATTACATTATTTGCAAAGTGTTCTAAAAAATGGAAAAGGTTTGTCACACCGAATTAAAGTACGCATTCTAGAATGACACCAAAATATCCGAGAATTACAGTGGTCAACTGTACAAAACACCTCCAAACATTTTTTTCAACCGCTATACACAGATGATCTGGTTTGTAAAAAGACTTTTCGATCTCTCTGATTGATAACTGCATAAATGTGCAGTCTGCTGATGTACTTGAAACATACAACCTTCCATCTTAGCACTATTCAAACGCAAACGAGTCCGCTTGGCGTCCCTTTAACATTCACAATCGAATGACGCTTACGGAAACTCGTCCACCGCCACCGCGACGTCGCGGCCACGACCACTAGCGCGGGTCTCCGGACGATTCTGTTGCTAAAGGCCAAGGAAAGGCAATAGGTGATGTTGGAGCACTGCTTGGTATTTTTCACTGTTCATACGCAATAATGGAACGGCAACTTCCAAATTTCCGCTGCTTGCGAAACCGCCGCAGACCCATCAACGGGCCTCTTCCGAAATTCCTTCTCGAGAGCACGAGCGACTCACGGCCAAGCCTCTCCAGTAGTAGCAAAATCCACCCGGCCCGTCAAGATCGAACTCTTTCCATGAGTTAAGATTACCTGAGGAGAGAAAGTCATAAAAAGTTGCTTGTTTTGAAAATAGGAAATTCTCGAAAAACCGTGTCTTCGTGTCCTATCCTATGTTGCCATGTTTTTACGAGCAGACTCCAATCTTGCTAACTTGTGCTGAGCCTTGAAGTGAGTAGCTTTTCTCAGCGTCTGTCGAGTGGTGTATTCATTTGAGCGGATGAGGGAAGCGAAATCGGATCTGAATCCATCTGAGCTCGGACAGTCAATGAAGAATTCCGACAGGATGTGGGCTACTCTTTTGTTGTTCTGAGCAGTCAAGGATCGTGGATGGAGCGGAGTGTGTGCTGAGTATAATTATCAGGGTGCCGGATGAAATCTTCCAATGCATTAAGGAGAACGACCAAGTTGTCGTGCGATTTCTTGATTGGAACTTCGCGCCATGTAGACTAGTGAGATTACGAAGTCTGATGAGTGACCGCAACCGTAACCGTGACTGGTTGGCGCGCGATGTCACGTGTCATCGATTTGAATTCGACGTGCCCTTTTGTCGTTTTTCCGCGCACTCCACGGCGACAAAATGGACGGTATAGAACCTGTCAATTGTACGAAACGTCTGTGCTGTACATATGTGGAGTATGGCAGGTAGTGCGTGTAGCATTGGATAGTCGCCCAAGGGCAGCTGTGGTAGATGGGGGTATTGTGCACTCGTTCTGCGAGGCATTATACCCTCACGTTGGTGCTGAAACGTGTGGGTACACAGCAGTAGTGTAGCTGCGCGCTCCAGTGCCAACGTGGATTACGGTAGCGGTCACTCATCGGACTGTTAAAACCGGCTTGTGTTATGCAGAGCCCTGATCTGAGCTTGTTCGTCTTCAGGAAGAAGTATGCCGCGAATAGACATGATGACGAAATGAAAACAGCAAATTCGGATTGAAACCGGTGGAAATTTCGGCGCCAAAATCTGATCTTCTTCAAGTGTGCACATACTTTTGAAACAAAGAAAAAAATTCAATCCAAAATTTTTTTCCGAAAGTGAGGCGATATTATCTGCTTTGCTTCCACTGATAGGTTATCGACTACGAGAAATCGATTGAGAAGGATTTCATAGCACGAAACCTCATGGTTCCTTTTAACGTGAATTTTAGGGTGTCCACATACTCTTTGAAACACACTCTATCAATTTCTTGTCAGTGTTACAGTACGTTTTGTACGAAAGGTTACTTATCTCCTTGAAATTTTGAGAACAACCAAATTTAAGATTATTGCAATGTGGTTGTCGTTTGCTTCATTTTCCTCCTCTCAACAAGCTCAGATCTTTATCGGTAAACGTGGATCACGCGAAAGAAGGAATCTCGTAGTATCGAAAAATTGTCCATTTATGTTGAGTTGCCTTCTCCACCTTGGAAAATGGAAGTTCCTTGGAAAATGAGTGACCAAAACTTCTCGAGTGCTAGCGTATCTGCACGGTGACCTCAACCAACAGAGAAGAGCAGCTTATTGCCCTCGCTGTTCGGGCGCAGCCTTGGGAAGGGATGTCCAACCGCTAACACCGCAGAAGGTTTCATCGTTTTTAGCAACAACTTCAAACTTCCACTCCATCTTCAAGAATTTAAAAAGAGCAAAACTTGTGCTAGTGAACCTTCGAAAGGAAGGTTCTGAAACGTGCCAAAAGAAGACGTCGAATTGGATCTCAGCGAAACCTTGCGTTAACCTGCGACTGTCTTCAAGGGCTACTTGCATATGATACCAGTCGTACGCATGCATTCGGCAAAGCAAACCGCCAAGTTCAAAGCAAGCCTATTGCAACAACCTTCAAACCAAATAGAACGGTGCGCTCAGTGGCCGTGTGATCAACATGGTGCATAATTTAGCTACAAGATGCGCAGTGGATAAAGCCAGACACTATCGAAGGAATTCCAAAAGACACCCTACCGTTAGATACACCGTTCAAAAATATGTACCAAACTCACGTCTAGGCATGAGTGTAGCTCCAGTTCCAGTTTCCGTCTGAAAGTAAATGATGTGGTTCTCTCAGCACATCCCGACCAGGGTGGAAATCGTGTCGAGGACGTGGTCAGATCAGTACGACCCCCCTCAGATCGGGATCTTGATACGACCCCTCTAACTTTGATTTGATGTGAATAAGCGAGTTCCATCAATGTACAGCAAAGCATTCAGTTGCAGCGCGGTTTATCCGTGGGTCAGATTTGCCGAAACCCCGCTCGAAACCGTCGAAATCTACACTCTCGATGAAAAGGTTCCATTCCCCCATTTCATAACCTTTGGAGCAGTATGTGGTAGGGTTAGATAGAGCTGGATTTGCTACTACCGGGCAATATTGAAATTGATCTAAAAGCTTTACACTCGAAGAGATAGGGTCTCTCAAATTTTGTCGAGGGAGCGTCGAGGATGCTGAAATTTTCATGCGAGTTTTTGCCACTTAAAAGGCAATATCTCTCTAATTTCGCAAGATCTTGGAAAAACGAAGACAGTTTTGGAAAGCGGAAGGTTTGCGCTTTCTAACAGTATGTTTAGCTTCCTTCTACATTTTTAGTTGAGGAGATATTTGCGTCGAGGATCTATCGAGGATGATTCTCGGCCGCTCAAAACCGCTCCCTTCTTCACCATTGCAAGTGTAATTCGTTGGCAACGCTCGAAATGTGTCTAGAATAATTCTCCCAACATAAGCGACAAGAAAAGGGCAATCGTCATCGTCCGATTCGTCTGGTATAGGCCATGCATCCGACCTCCACTCGTTGTAGAATCTATTGAAAGGTGTTACACATATGATGATGACCTGTTGACAGAAACTGTATTGTAGTAAACACATTTCGTAACTCCTGTAACCTAAGGAACAGCTTCATTTGCCCATGGTCTTTCCAGAACTTTGCCGGTTTGCGACAGCTCCCTAACAACTGCCTCATTTTCAACGAGGTATTAAGGGCGAGAGAGCGGGCCTAGATAAAGGAGGTGCCTCTACAGCACACACATTGCGGAGATGCACTTTCATTCCTTGTACTGCTTTCAAATACGTCCTTCTCATAAAGGTAAGGAATGGAGCGACTGGAACCTGCAAAGAATATTTTATATCATGTTTTCTCACATATCCTTTTCTGCTGCGCTACACCCTCTCCCTCCTATCTGCACCACGATGCCACTGACTGTTACTGACCCCCACGAGTACGACCCCCCATGACCCAGCCCGACAGGTACGACCCCCTGTCGAGGATTTCCTCGACCGATATTCACCCTGGCCCAGATGCTTGATTGCTATCTCGTATATTGCTATTTTCTAGGATTTAAATTTTCGATCAATTAATTCATAGTAGCCACCAAGCGGCTTGAAGAATATGTTGCAATTCATACGAGAAACCAAGGTTCTGCAATTCCCTAATTTTGGCATTCCGAAATGATGTTTTTCGGGATGCTAAATCAATTGCTTCCCTTATTGAAGTACATATCTTATTTTTTACTAGCTTAGTTTTAGTAAAGGGAGTCCTCACATCTCTCACTTGATCTATTTCATTATCACCACCCGACCTTGCTATGCACTCTACAACATTTCGTAGTGCTCTCATGTTCGTTCGATTGTGACTGATTACAATTCCAGAAGAAGGTGAAGAGGAAAAAGCAGAAGCTTGCGCAGTCAATGAAAAAAATGAAGGCCAAGCAAGCGGCAGGCGTAAGTTATGGAATCTTTAGTATTGATTTATTTCATCAGTGTGGATTTATATTTTCAGGTTAAGAAAGCACTGGAAGATTATTTGGCAAGTCAGTATACGACTTCGACAGTAGATGAAGGACCCATGGAAATGCCGTCAAATGAACCCCGATTAGCGGAAAGTCAACCGTCAGATTCCTCAATATGGCTCCTCATCGAGTGGACTTTGCAACACGTTCCGCGCCCATCAACAGCCCTGCACAAAGATAGCCAATAGCAGTACTCAACGGTTTTGGCCAATAAGAAAAGAAAATCATTTAAAACAACGTGTACGCCATTTCAAGCATGATCATTAACACATCGTTTAACTTGCTAAATCCTTTTTTGTGTCCGCGCAATGTTTCGCGCAATAAAACTGAGAACTCTGTGAAGCGATTATTCTCCTGTGTTATCTTCCTAGATGAACCTATGATGGCTACCAATACAACACTGCCAGAATTGAAATTTGATAGCTCAGGCTGTTTCTAATATAAAAAATCTGGCTAAGTCTGAGGTTTAGGCAATGAAACCATCCTTTATTTTTTTTAACCAGATTAGTCCCCCGTCAACCGCCGGGACCTTCCTTTCCTGCGCAAGCTTTCTATCCTCCGCTATGGTCCCTTCCTCCTGTGACACCAACACCTGGAAGTGACGCGTATGCAACACAATGGTGTTTCATACAGTAGAAGGGACACAATCATGATATGACGGTAGATTTTTCGCTTCCCTTCCTCATCCTCCCTTCCTCTCTCCACTGCCCTCCAGCTGCCACTGCAGCACCATGTGGAATGAACGGAAGTGTGTGGGCGCCCCTTTTTAAGTAAGGTGTATATAGCCCTAATAGTGTTATCAGATCACCACCTACCTGCTACAAAAAAAAAAAAAACATTGAATACTTTCAAATCTGTAAGCTACCCGATTTTGTTAGCGGTTTGTTTATCCCATGAGCTTCCTTCTCACTCACTTCATTTTGCGGACGGACACACATACATACATACATACATACACACACACATACAGACATACAAACCGACACACAAAGTTAGCGCTTTATAAAATAGAAAAATTTTCTTCAGCTTGTAACTGTATCTCCGACACACTATCGCTCTGGGAGTGTTCCGCATTCACTGGTATAGCAACGCCCCCTATCCGACCACCTAAGGTTTTTGCATTTGCATTTTTGTCGGTTTTCACTCCCTAATTGATGCTATACTATGTATCGTATAACTTAGTACGATGGGTTGTTATCTTAGTATACAGATTAGTCCCCCGTCAACCGCCGGGACCTTCCTTTCCTGCGCAAGCTTTCTATCCTCCGCTATGGTCCCTTCCTCCTGTGACACCAACACCTCCTGGAAGTGACGCGTATGCAACACAATGGTGTTTCATACAGTAGAAGGGACACAATCATGATATGACGGTAGATTTTTCGCTTCCCTTCATCCTCCCTTCCTCTCTCCACTGCCCTCCAGCTGCCACTGCAGCACCATGTGGAATGAACGGAAGTGTGCTAAGCAGGTGTTTATATAGCCCTAAGAGTGTTATCACAACTATCCTGCTACAAAACATTGATATCTCAAATCCTGTAAGCTACCCGATTTGTTAGCGGTTTGTTTATCCCATGAGCTTCCTTCTCACTCACTTCATTTTGCGGACGGACACACATACATACATACACACACACACACACACACACACACACACACACACACACATACAGACACACACACAACACACACACACACACAACCCACACACACACACAAACACACACACACAAATACTCTGTCTGTGTGTGCTTGGTTTGCTTTTTTTTGGTACCCGACACACACACACACACACACACACACACACACACACACACACACACACACACACACACACACACACACACACACACACACACACACACACACACACACACACACACACACACACACACACACACACACACACACACACACACACACACACACACACACACAAACACACACACACACACCACACATCGACATTGGGGTGGTCACCAAACCGACACACAGCACACACACACCGAACACCAACACACATCACCTCACCAAACCGACACACACAACCAAACCGACAGCACCCCCGATCCACACCAAACCGGACATCACCACACACACAAACCACCAGCACAGGCCACCACACAAACCGACACACAAAGTTATGCAGTTTATATAATAGAAGTAAAGTATCTGCTCGCGGGTTCGAGCTTTATTAAATGTACTACACTTATCTTCCTGCTACAATGATTCTCCTAGTCGGGCAATGTCGGCGTAAGAAATACTCGTTGCTGTCATATGATGAAACCACAGGTTTCTACAGTTCCCTCGATTTTGGCATTCCGAAATGATATGTTTTTGGGATGCTAAATCAGTTGCTTCCCTTGTTGAGCAACATATCTTATTTTTTACTAGCTTAGTTTTAGTAAAGGGAGTCCTCTCATCTCTCACTTGATCTACTTCATTTCATCACCACCAGACTTGCTATGGATCTCTACAACATTTCGTAGTGCTCTCATGTTCATTCGATTGTGACTGATTACAATTCCAGAAGAAGGTGAAGAGGAAAAAGCAGAAGCTTGCGCAGTCAATGAAAAAAATGAAGGCCAAGCAAGCAAGCGGCAGGCGTAAGTTATGGAATCTTAGTATTGATTTATTTCATCAGTGTGGATTTATATTTTCAGGTTAAGAAAGCACTGGAAGATTATTTGGCAAGTCAGTATACGACTTCGACAGTAGATGAAGGACCCATGGAAATGCCGTCAAATGAACCCCGATTAGCGGAAAGTCAACCGTCAGATTCCTCAAAGCAATCCTCATCGAGTGGAGCTTTGACACCTTCCGCGCCATCAACCCCTGCACCAAAAGATACCGGCCAATAGCAGTACTCAACGGTTTGGCCAATAAGTGAAAAGAAAATCATTTACCAAGTGTCTCGCCCATTCAAGCAGCTCATAACGCATTGTTTCACTTGCTGAAGATCCTTTTTGGTCGCGGCAAATCGTTTGCGCCAATAAAACTGAGCAACCTTGCAGGATTATTTCTTCTGTGTTTTCTTCCTGATGAACTATGATGGCACCAATCAACCTGCAATTGGAAAATTGAACGCTCAGCTGTTTCTAATATTACAAAAGTCTGCTATGTCTGGAGGCGTTTAGGCTAATGACCTCCTTTGTTCCTTTTTTCAAATCCAGATTAGTCCCCCGTCAACCGCCGGGACCTTCCTTTCCTGCGCAAGCTTTCTATCCTCCGCTATGGTCCCTTCCTCCTGTGACACCAACACCTGGAAGTGACGCGTATGCAACACAATGGTGTTTCATACAGTAGAAGGGACACAATCATGATATGACGGTAGATTTTTCGCTTCCCTTCCTCATCCTCCCTTCCTCTCTCCACTGCCCTCCAGCTGCCACTGCAGCACCATGTGGAATGAACGGAAGTGTGCTAAGCAGGTGTTTATATAGCCCTAAGAGTGTTATCACAACTATCCTGCTACAAAACATTGATATCTCAAATCCTGTAAGCTACCCGATTTGTTAGCGGTTTGTTTATCCCATGAGCTTCCTTCTCACTCACTTCATTTTGCGGACGGACACACACACATACATACACACACATACAGACATACACAAACCGACACACAAAGTTAGCGCTTTATAAAATAGAAGGATTGTTTCCAGCTTGTAACTGTATCTCCGTACACACTACATCGCTCTGGGCAGGGGTCGCCCACTGGAGTAGCCAACGCCCCCTACACCATTTAAGGTTTTTGCATTTGCATTTTTTGCGAGTTGTTCAAATCCCAATTGATGCTATAGCTATGGTTACGGCAAGTATATAGAATGGGTGTGTTCCTCCTTTATGGTATAAAGTATCGCTCAGCGGGTCTCGAGGCTTTTATTGATTGTACTCACTATCTCCTCTCCAATGGATGCTCTGGAATGCCCCTAATTCCAGCCGCCTTCATTTTTCATGATGCATCACTCCACTTTTTCCCCGAAGCTTCTCGGCGTTGCCCACCGGAGCTTAATGTTTACGGCTTATTTTGTCGGATAATCCTAGTGGTGTTTTAGCACGGGTGCGGTTGAAATCGTTGTTTTCACATCCTCAGAGAAAGAGGGTCGCCTCACGTGGCTTCAGAGGCTCAGGTCACGGTTGAACTCGTGTGACTGTTGCTAACGAGCATAAAAGTGGAGGCGCGATTATGACCGTCAGTGAAGAAAAAGAAGCAGAGGCTCTCCTCAATAACTCAAATAAGGAGCAACATAACAACAGAAGTCGCGTCGGAAAATTTGCCGAGGCAACAGTTCCAGCAGGGTTTTCACCTTCAAATAATAGTGTAGAACGATGCGCTAGCCCTAGTCAGCTCCTCGCCTTGCTCAGTCGGTTGTAATCCCCTCGACCGACTTCCAACCACGCCCACTTCGAAGCATTCAGCTCCCTTTCCAGCGGCTTTCCAAGGTGAGTTTTTTGTTCAGTCACACTTCTTATGTTCTTGACTAGGGCTAGCGCATCGTTCCACACCATTAGTGTCGAAGGTAAAAACCCTGCTGGGACTGTTGCTTAAAGTGGGTGAGATAGAGTAGCTCACAAGTAGCACAGATATGCCAGTGTTGCGGCTCGAAAGTGCGCGACAATATGTAGCGCTAGGTCTTACAAAGTCTGCTTTTGGCGACTAATCTTAGCACTTGGACGAGTTACGTAACGCACACCCGCAGCGTGTATTAGGCGTAGCGGCTAATTCAAATATGGGTGCGGATTTTGAGCCGTGGAGCAAGCTAGTCGTAAAACTCGTCCGGCCCCACCCCTTCCTTTTGGAGGGCAATTTTTGTTTTGAGCCTCATCGACCGTATTCTTGATTCCTTTTTCTATTTTGGGCAATTCGGCATCGACGACTTCATTATAAACCGCTGTGATCCCAAAAGTTCCATCTGGGGATGTTGCTTTGAGGAATTTCTGCGAGAGCAATCGCGGTCGGGTGGAAGAAGGAGGAGAACTACCATTGTTGCGTTACTCACCAACGCTTGTGGGTGGCCCTATCATATCCACCAAGTGAGTGTTAAATTATTATGATTATCTTTTTCCAAATATTCCAAAACTGATTAGAAACTAGGAGATTGACTTCTAAAGAAATATCAAGAGTTTTTGAAAGACCACTCTTCCGAAAAATCTCCCAGTTTTTTTTTCTTTAATGGCTCTATTAC